AGATTACCCATCTAAAAATAGTTACAAATTACATTCATGAATTAGATTCAAACTGATAAAGATGTTACCTTAACAGTCATTTACAATATTAAAAGATTACTATCAGTAAATTTTTATTTTTTAAATATTTTTTTAATGTGTTTTAAGTTAATGTGTTTTTAAATATAGTATTTAATTAATATTAAATCCCTAAATTATTTGTAAAACAGTTAAATATTTAAATTGCTAGCAAGGATCAAATTAATGTCTTCGTGGTTTTTTTAAACATTTAAATTATTATCAAACGTTAAAATCTGTTTTTTTACATAAATTAATAAAACTATTCCACCCCTCTTCCTCCTCCGTAAAACCTAATTACAGCCTCTTTCTTTTTACTTCCCCCTTCTTTCTTTTTTCTCTTTTCCCTCCTTCCCTTTCAATATATTATTTCCGTTAAGTTAACCGATAACATAGGTCAATGTCTGATCTTTACTCCCTCCTTCCTCAATATTAAGTATGATAGAAAGAAATATTAAAATAAACCCTCTCTAAACTCGATCATGTCTCTCACACCACTCCTCGCTACCCTCTCTGTTAAATTACATAAACTTAATACTACCCGTAAAAAGTGTAAATTTTCATTTCACTTTTCGTTTCAACTGTTTGGTAATGATGTCTGAGGATCCAGCGTCCTTTAAAAGGTCTCTGGTGAAATAAATTATGACAATGGAGCCTTAAAAGTGGTCTGTTTTTCTTTAATATATATATATATATATATATATATATATATATATATATATATATATATATATTAATAGTTATTTTTTTTTTAAATATGTATTGAATATGTTTTAAATGATAATTATAATATTATTCTCTACTGTGTATCGAGCATTTTAAAAAATAAATGCTAAAGGACTTTGAATTATAAATCTGACTATTCTTTTTTAATTACATAAATATATATATGTGTGTGTGTGAAACATATATATATATATATATATATATATATATATATATGTGTGAAGAAATATATTCTTAAGATGTGCTATATTTATGGGCTAAAGTGCTCAATATCAGAGATAGAGCGTGCGTAAATATAAAAGTGAACATAGAAGTCAACACTTAGTTTTATGTTAAACGCAATCGTCAGGCCACCTTAAAATTCAATTAGATATTCGCTTGAAAATGAAACAGAGCTAGGGCCTTTAATTTAATTAGATAATTGAATTTGAAGTTAGATTGTGTTTTTGACACATGGTAATTTCCTGTGTAGCGATGGAACCATATTTTTAAATCAGTTAATTCATAATATATATATATATATATATATATATATATATATATATATATATATATATATATATATATATAAATCCGGTTTATTTCAAATGCAAAATATAAAAAAAAACTAAAAAAAACAAAAAAACAAAGGTTCTAAAAACACCTTCGGTCTGATGAGATGAATATTAAATAAATATCTTCATGAAATAAATTATAACCGAAAAGATTTTTTTAAGGGTTTTCTTTACATATTATTATATTGCTCTATTACTTACATTGTGTTCTCTTTTGATTAACGTTCTTTTAATTATCCCTACCAATTACAAATTGGTATTTTATATATATATATATATATATATATATATATATATATATATACATACATACACGTGTGTTTGTTTATATATATCTGTGTTTACAGAAGCGTACCAGCGAATACTTACGGGAAGTATTTTTAAATATGAAACAAAAAAGATCTATTAATAGTTTCAATGTACATATGTTGCAGATGATAAAGATATTTTTTACTAAAACGGTCACATCTGCCAACAAAATATTTATAGAGAAAATTGTGATTGATTTTTCAAATACATTACTCAGCTTATATCAGTTTAATTTATTGATCTAAATTCTCGCCGCCTATTATCGAACTGATTCCATCAACCTATAAACATTAATTTCGTCCAATAATTACTGTACATTTAATTGCCAATGCACATACAGACCTATATAATTAATTTAGAATAATCGAATCAGATTATTAATTACAATTGATTCCCTTCAGGTATGCCTACATTAAGTACACTACTAATGACCTTATTTGATTTTTCTAAATTATAATATTATATGGTTGTTGGCAAGATGGGCAATAATATCTTAGTGGTTAATCTTTTTCTTCTTCTTGGTATCATTATTATTCTAAAGAAATTTTATTGTCGATGACTTCTTAAGGCGATGGAGGGATTTTGCAGAGAGCAATTCAAGTTAAATATTAACCTTTCCTTATTTGACAAAGGCAGTAATGTGTTTGTAGTTATTTATAGGACACTCCGACATGGAATCACGACAAGATTTATCCCAAACAGTTTAGAATATATAGTATTTCAACAAAATAAAACACTGAAGACACACCAGCAACGAACTCCTTAAAAATGGCTAATGAACTCTCCGAAAATGCTTGTGACATTAAACATTACAGTTGGTTTTAGCCTCACCAAAAATGAAAACTGTATGAGCATTAAAAAAAAAAAGTAAACATTCAATGAATCATGTATAAAAGAAAGGTTGTTGGCCAAATATACAATACTCTCCGAAGAAGATGATCAGTTACACGCTGTATTTCTTTTTATAGAAATTCCTAAAGTAGTGCTATCAGGAATCCTGGTAATGTTCTTGTCAGTAATTTCTTTTAAAACTTAAAATATAATGCAACAGTTATTGCTGGTATAAGATCGTTTTTAAGGTGCCATATTTTTCAATTTCAATTTCGACGTACTTATATTTAATTATTTTGGCGGACGAGGGTCGACTGGAAGCTGACCAAGATAAATAGACACATCATTTGGTAAGCATGCATATGTGACAGAAGACAACATCTGGTCGGTCTGCAGTTGCATTCTGGTACACGTGCATGCTTAGCAACTGGTGCTTTCCATCCAAGACTTGTATACTTTAATAGATGTAATTTTATCTTATGGTTTTCCATATCTACAAAAAAGCATTTTTGTCTGTAAATCATATATATTTTATTAATTTTTGTATGATTGCCACTATAAATAAGAAAGTCACACAGACTAGCGACCATTTCTCAGCATCTGGCTCATTGTAATATGGATACATCTTCCAGTGAATAAAGCGCCGATCTTCATTCCTTAGCTGTCACGATTAGACAGCAAGATACAATGTCGTCAGTGATCTTAAAATGTTATTTATGCAATCAACATATTGGGTTTGACGCATTTATTATTATTATTTTTGTCTGGTAATTCTTGGTAAATATGCTTTGGTTAAAATATTATTATTATTTCAAATGTTTTTTTTTTGCTCTTGCAATTTCTTTATAATCCACTGCCGAATAATCGGCAATGACCTAGAGCAAAGGAAGGATAAGATTTCTTGTTGTCTCCACTTAATTAAACCAAAAAAAAAACAAAAAAAAACAGACAATAAAAAACTTGAATAGACAAAAATCTTTGCAGGATACGGGCTGTGATTGTTAGAACTATTTTTGGGGATATCCTGGGGAGATTTCGTTTATGTGTTGTTGAGTTCCTTTCTTTCTCAGACCCAGTGCTCCAACCAAAGCAGGAACCGTTTCAAGTGCCACGTTTATTTTTCTATTTAAACGACCAACTCGTTTTTAGTTCGTAGTCTTAGAATAAGTTTGACATGGTTTATTATTTTCGAATATCCAAGTGTTGTTTTCACAGCCTCTTGTTTGCTAAACAACTTCGAAGAGAAAAACTAAGAAAGTGATATTAGGCTGTGCAAGAAAAGAAAAACATCGGAAATTCACAACACGCCCATTTCTTTTCGTCTTAAATTATTTATTTATATTTTATTCTATGATTTTTTAGTTTTGTTATTTCGGTCTTTATATAAACATCGTTCCCAAAATTGCAAAAATCAATAAAACATTAAACAGACAGCTCTAGCCAGTTCCATTTAATAAAACAAGTTTATTTTTTATATATATATATATATATATATATATATATATATATATATATATATATATATATATATATATATATATATATATATATATATATATATATATATATATATATATATATATATAATTTCATATATATATATATCTAATTTCTCCTCTTTCTCCCTATCTCATTCTCTGATGAAGCTTTAATAAAAGTTATACTTGTTAGATAAAGTCCGATTCCGATCCCTATTTGATCTATATCTGATAACAACTTATATACGGCACGGTGGAGTAATTGATAGCGGCGTGGATTGAGGAATCGGAGAACCGAGTTCGAATTCCAGTCGAATCCATTACATTCACTTCCGAGCTAATACCCTTGGGAAACGTATGAATCCTCTTCTAAGGTAAATAGCCTTGGATGGCAACTGGTCTAGGAGAAGGACAACTCTGAATTCAAAACCTGCGGGGGATCGTTTGGGGATCTTGTGGCACACAGTGCACCAGGTCAATGTATTTGGTTCTTCTTGTGGATGGTCCTGCACGAAACCTTCACCACTATAATCAAATCTCATGTGTTGTTGGGCTGTCGGTTTCCTAGGAACTCATCTGCTTGACCCTCATACATCGAATTCGACGGTAGATTCGAGTATATATATATATATATATATATATATAGTATTTCAGGTATCTATCACAAAATATACAAAAAGCTATCTCAAAAACGAATCAGCAACCGGAATATCCAGTAAACCCTTTACACAGACACACATATATATATATATATATATATATATATATATATATATATAAAAATTACAGTCAGAAGCAAGGCAATTATGAGAACTACGCCAACCTGTCTGATCATCTTACCTAATAAGGTTTACAGATCATCATCTCGACTGAGCTTGCACATTGTGGTGCACAGGATAATTGTAGATCCAATCAACCGAATTAAGCATATAGAGGTTATCTGTCATATATACCTGATAACGAAATCGAATGCTGGTCTGAAGAGACATCTTAGGGGCATGAAAGCTGAAACAAGACGGGAACCATTACAAGTGATGCGAAGGGTGATTAAGATATCCCAATTAGAATATATATATATATATATATATATATATATATATATATATATCCTCACCGAAAATAATCCGTACGATGTATGTCTTAATTACAAAGAGAGTTATCGGGAAATTCCCGTTGGAACTCTTGTCTAATTAGACAAGAGAAGGGAAATCTTTTTTGCAAATTGTGAGAAATGTTTATTGATTCGCTGTCCTGTAATTTTTAGCTGTAATTTCAGGTTAGCTAATTAGTTGTTGTTATTTCAATAGCTTTCCATTATGCATCTATCTTAGACGGGTTTTGTAATGGGCACTATCTCCCACTGTCTATAATATGTTCCCGTGGCAAGCGTCTCAAATAACCTCCGAAAATTAAGTCCAACTCCAAGCTGGAAAAAAGAGGAAGCGGACCACTCGCACTTCATAAACTGATGCTTCGGGTAGATGGAACCATTTAATGGAAGAACCTGATTTAAAATCTCTGCTTGCGGCCATATCCAAACACGGAAAAGAGTATGAAAATAAATCCATACAGAAAATTTGTAGTGAAACTACGAAGGCTGTTGACTGTCAACTCTGACAATGTTACAACTCCTGTAGTCACGACGGCGCCAAATGTAATGCCTCAATGTTACGGCAACTCCTGCAGTCAAAACGACCCCACATGTGATACCCCAAGATTACGGCATCTCCTACAGCCAAAACGACTCGACATGTAATGCCCCAACATTACGGCAACTCGTGCAGTCAAAACGACCCCAAATGTAATGCCCCAACATTTCAGAAACTGTTGCAACTATGTCTATAATACTCCAATGTTACAGCATCTTTTACAGCCAAGAGGTCACCCCAGTCTCACCAGTTATGTCAGAGTTTGACACGGGAGACAGCATTTTACAACGCAGGAAGTATGAAGAAGAGTCTCAGATCTTCATCCGATATCTCAACTTCGCCTGTCACGACTGCAGAAGAGACTGCCTTGCAAGATCGAACTGTTAAGACTTCTAGACACTACTCACAAAAGCACTGAATTTTTTCCAAACTGGACGCTGCCATTATCGCTCGAGATAAACGGATGTTTAAAGATATCGCACGCGTTTCAGCATTTCTCGTTATCAAAAATGGCGATAAAAATTGTTTTGCAGTGTTTCAGGTTATAATACTTAAAAATAAACCGCAACTCATATACTTATTTATAAATAAATCCAAAAGTTATAAACCTTAGAAAAATATGTCTACACTATCAACTACATACAACCATTTTCTCAGAACAAAGATTAAAATGGGTTTAGCCATGTGGGTTTTAGGAAGAAGTGCACTTCGTCACTAAATAATAAAAATCACACAAAAGAAAACAGAAATAAAAGCAATAGCATATATAACTCGAAGGGAAAATAAAGATGTTGTCTCGTTCCACACGATTTCGAACAAAAAGTTAGGAAGAACCCAACGCCCATTAATACTGGAAAAAAGCGATAACAGTTGATGAACTTATATTCCTGAAACATTTTCTAAATTTTAAACGACACTAACGCTAAATTTTCTGCCATTTCCTTGTATGGAGACATTTAAGCTCTATACCACAATTTGATTGCACAATATCCTATATACTTTAATAAATTAGATTAGTTAATATTGGTTCCTTAACATTTTATATTAATTATCAGGCTGATTTGCATAAGTTTTTCTAATGTTTGACTTTCAGATTATTCTGCCTAGACATTTACTACGAGATGTAAAATGATGTCCGCTTTTAGATACACACACACGTACAGACACACACACAGATACATACATACATACATACATACATACATACATATATATAAAATAAATATACAAGTCTGCGAAATTTAACAAATGTGCCGATGTGTAAATCTTATCATTTCATTAATGAAACATAGGATGAAGCAATTTTTCATGTCAAAATTTTATTTTTTTTTATTTTGTTTTTATTTTCAGTACTTTTTGAAAATTATTTTGTTTCTTTTTTTTTTCTTGCTATAATTTCGGTCTTTTTACATATTTTTGATGTTTGTTTTGTCGAAGTTCTTTTGTTTTTGTTTGTTTTCTTTTTTTTTATCCAGTATTTTGTCTTCATTTAATTTACATTTTCTTTACATTTTCCTTTTTTCTTTTCGGCATTCTTTCTTTTACATTTTCTTTTTGCTTTCTTTTGCATTTTCATATTTTTGATTTTTCTTCTACTCTCTTTCTTTCTTTCTTTCTTTCTTTACCTTCTACATTTTCTTTTACGTTTCTTTCTATTTTCTGTTAAAATTTCTTATTTTTTCCTTTTCTTTTTTCTTACAGGTGTTATTTCTTTTATATTTTCTTAGTTTTAATTTATTTAATTTTGATTTTTTCTACTTTCATTTATTTTCATTCCCAGTCTTCTTTACAGATTTTTTCCTTTTTTCATTTTTTAATTTCCATTTAATTTTTTCTTTCTTTCATTTTTACTTTCTTATTTTTTCTTTCATTCTTTCTTTAATATTTTCTTCTTAGCCTCATTTTTTTTTATTTTGCTTAATCTTTCTTTTCTATTTTCTCCTTTTCCTTTATGTCTTCTTTTCAATTTCTTTCCTTATTTTTCATTTTTGGTTTCCTTCTCACAACCCAGTCTTCTTTGTATTTTTTTCTTTTATTATCAAAGAAACATTTTTTGTTCCGTTGCTTCGTTCTCCCTTTTGTTATCATTTTCAATACAAGTTTTTATTTTCCTTTACCATTTATCTTCCTTCTTTCATTCTTCAATGCTGTCATGGACCATATTTTTTTGATTCTTTCACTTAATTTATTTATTTGACATTTTTCTTTTTATCTCTCTTTCGCACTATTTCACTGATTTTCTTCCTTCCTTCTTTCTTTCTTTCTTTCTTTCTTTCTTTCTTTCTTATAAATGTTTCTCCTACCTTTTCTATAAAACATTGTTCTTTCTTTCTTATAACACTTTCTTCTTTCTTATAAAATTTTCTTCTTATAAAATTTTCTTCTTTCTTTTTATAAAATGTTCTCCTTCTTTTTTATAACATTTTCTTTTTTCTTTCTTATAAAATTTTTAACATTTCAAAAAATTATTTCTTTTGTTCTTCTTTTTCTTCCTTCTTTTAAATCCACAACCTTTTACTTTATCCCCTCCCGCAAAACGACACTAATTCAACTTTCTCTATTATTCTTGTTCCACCTCGTCCCTTTATGCTACATCTCTCTCTCTCTCTCTCTCTCTCTCTCTCTCTTCTCTCTCTCTCTCTCTATCTCTCTCTTCAATTCTGACAAGTCAATTTTCTGCTTTACGTCGTACTGGCATCATTTCCATTCGCGACCATCTCAACTATTTCCCTGCGGTTCACTTCCGTTTAGTACGCTCGAAATTTCAACGCCAACGTAGCAGGAGGTAAAGTGGATGAAACCAGACGATAAGTCCTCATACTTACTTTCGTTAACTACCGCATCATTTCTTAGCCACCCCGGTCGACCAGTGAAAAGAAAGTGACATCGGTTTAACAGGAGCAGGTCAGTTGAGGTCATGGACAGCTTATACTGGATCACGTGTAAAGAATTTTATCCAGGCTTCCGGATGATTGAAAATAATAGGGTCAGCCAGCATTGAAGATGGTGTACATAAAATGAAGTGAGTAAGAAAAATGGTGGCCACTTCCGGTTGGGTGCAAGGGGGCAAAAATCAGGATGTTGGACTGAGAAGAGATCAACGTCAAGCCGTGGTTAACACTAGCTTGGTATTATCTTTTACATACTTTGATTGTGAAATTAGATTGGGGTGTTTAGTTTTTTCTTTCTTTTTTTTTACGTTTACTTTTTTCTTTTCCCTTTTATCTTCTTCCTGTTTTTTGTTTTGTTTTGGGTGGGGTGGGTTTAAATTATTTTCTATTTTTTTTTATTCCTATTTCTTTGGAACAATGAAATAATCACATGATATTTTTTCTTCTAAGCTTTGCAAAAATTTCTTTTAAGATTTTTGTCATTCTTAATTCAGCTTAAATCTGGTGTGAATTAAGAAAAAAGTACCGGAAAATTAAGAAAATGAAGAAAATATATTGACTAATAAAAATGTATATTTTGATGACTTGATTGAATACACATATGAAGCTACGCGAATTAATGTTTTTAAGTTAAAAACAAAAAAGATTGGTGCATTTCTCTTTAAAAATATAATACCAAAGAAACTTAAAACTAAATTTATGAAATTGCATTTCAATCTTTAATCACTTTTTTCTACTTTAAAAAAAACTATTATACGTTTAAAAGCATGAGATTTCATAAGTTATACTGGGAGAAAACTGCCTGTATAAAAAAAAATAGCTATACAAAAATAGAAAGGAATGTGAGACAAGGATGCATCTTTTCCCCAGATTTATTCATTTTTCTTGTCTTCGTATAAGATTTTTTTACGTTTTTTTTAGATATTTATGTATGTGTGTGTAGATATTTACGTATGTGTAGATATTTTTGTATGTATCTAAATTTGTGAGAATGTTTTTGTTCCAAACTCGGTCATCACATTTTGACTTCGTCCATAGTTTAGGTTATTAAGTGTTATTGTTAATGTTAGAAAAAGTTCGACATTCAGTTAAAAATAATGAAAAGACATCCTTGATAATGGCTAAAGGAATAACCGTAAGCGATCAGACATACAGAATATTCAAACAATTTTGACACATTTTATATCCAGAGAAGAAAAAAGAAAAAATGTATTACACGCACGCACACACACACACACACACACACATATATATATATATATATATATATATATATATATATAATACATAAAAGATTAATGGTCAGAGTTGAAACAGACCAGGAAACAGTAGTGAAAATAAATAAAAATTGAAATAAAAGTAAAAATAACATGGAGAGCATTTAACTTGAAAAAATAAGAGATCAGTTGAATCCGCTACCTTGGTTTCAAACTTACGGTCTCCTCAGGCGATTTTTTCAATTGACTGCCTAACGCTTTATTTAAAAAAAAAAAAAAGCTAATCAACGGTATATTATTTAAAAAAAAAATAAGCAAATGCACGACGTTGTGATAGAAAGGGAGGGGAGTATGTGAAGAAGAAAAAGAAGAAGGAGGAGTAGGAGTAGGAGGAGGGCTTGTTATCGGTGGTGGTTAATTGAAATGTAAAATCTTTTTTAGCCAGCCTCATATGAACTTAAGAGGAATTTTTTGGTATGTATGCAAAGACTCATGACGTCGGGTTTCTGATTCAAAAGATTATCTGGATCCGCTCATAATTGCTCATTTTTTTCTTTTGGCAGAAGTTGCAAATATTATTGTGGTTGTTATAAGCCTTCGCGTTTTAAAATTTTTTCCAGCTTACAATTGGATCCCTGCTCTTTTCTCTTTTAAATTCCACACATTTTCAACAAGTTTGGTGGAGTACCTAATATTTACCAGCTTGAATGACGACTTATTATTGTATCAACTACCTTTCAAAATATATTCAGTATATCCTATGTACGTTTTAGGTTACAAATTGCAGTGCCCAGTAAGAATTGAGCAAATAAGCTACGGTATACTGTACTAGTTTTACCAAGAAAAACATGGCAACTCTAACTGCCCTTGGTCAATCATGGCTCTCCATGTTTTCTTGTCTTTTTCTTCCCTCTCTCCCTTTTTTTCTACCTCTAATTTTTGTGCTCTCCCTCTCTTATTTCCCTCTTCATCCTGGTTTTACCATCCCTTCACAGAAACCCGTTACGTAAGTCACACCCCGTTACTCAAACTTTTTTCTTCCCCCTCATTATGACGGGTGAGAATTAAACTTACCTGACCCTCTTTCCTCATTGTGTGTTAAAGTAAATTCAGATGATTTTAATTCAGCTCTCTTCAGTCAATGTTCTCTCTGTCGAAATCCTCCCCCCTTCTCATCTTATCTTTCTTCCATTCATCGCCATTATAATTATAACTTATGACAGAAATGTAAAATTTCTCCTCTTACATTTGACATTCCTCTCTTGATCGTTAAACGCTTCTGCTAAGAAACACTGATCTATCAAAATTATTATCAAATACAAGATTACATCACCAAAAATAAAATATTTGATGCCATATAAGACCCTCGCTTATTTACGTTTAAAATTGAAAATTCGAATACGGTGTCTTGGTTGATATCAGCCTGCTAAATCACTCAAATTCGTATGTATGTACTGGGAGATATTTTCAATCCTTCTCTGGGGAAAATGTGACGGTGTTTTTTGTTTTTTTAAGCATTTCACCCCAAGCAAGGCGTGAAGCCACTAGCACGCAAGGGGTTACAGAGGATTTGGAGCGAGAGCAGATAGGAGTGATAGAGGAAAGGATGAGGAGAAGGATAGTGGATAGATCAAGGCAACTGAAGATGTCTATTGACATTACATTTGAATAGTTGGAGATTATAGCTCTCAGGGAAACTGGAATAGGGAAGGGAGTTCCACAGGCGAGAGGTGTGATATATGATGAGAGGTGTCATATATGAATATATGAGTAGAAGAGACGGCTTTAACAATTTCAACAGTGAAAGGGTGAGAGCAGTATGCCAGCCTCGTAGGACGCATGAATTCATGAAGTCTGGGAACCAGCGAAAGCAGCTCATCGGAGCAATTACCATGAAAGTATTTCTAAAAAAGACAGAGAGATGCGACAAAAAATGGCGCGATTTAAGCGGACGTGTTATCTTACCGTTTCCTTTCCTTCTGGTCCAAATTTCTGCACAACTTCAGACGATATGCTATTTGACAGCCAAGAATTTGGATTAACCTCATTGCACTTTTATTCTTGTTTATACTTAGCAACAAAAAGAGAATCATTCATTCACTCGACGCGGTTGATTGGGTGGGTGGGTTTGGGTTTACAGCATTGTGTTTTATTCATGGGTGGGGGGTGGGTTCACAGTTGTGTCTCATAAAGACAAAAATAAAGAAATCAATCAACGAATAAAACCTGGTGAATTAAAAAATAGTGAAGCAAATATTTTGGGGGAAAAATGAATTAAAGTATAAATCATTGATGTCAGAAGTGTTAAACAGAAAGGGAAAAAAAAGGAAAAAATGACCAGTAAAAAGCAAATTTGGGTTTATTGATGAGATTGGAATTCTGAATCGATTAGCTAAAATACAATTACCAAATAAGGGAGAAAGACAAAACAGGAGAATGGAGAAATAAGGGTCGTTATAAACTAGTGAAAAAGAGGAGAAAGAAAAGAGTGATAAAGAAAGCAGAGGAAGAGAGAGATAGTAAAGTAGAAGTAGTAGGAGAGAAGACAGAATACAAAGGAAGAGGGGTGATAGAAGAGTAAAAGAAAGAGTGGGAGAGAAAAACAGCGAACATTTGGGAGTGAGAGAGAGAGAGACTTGAGCAATTAGAAGAAAAGCAAGTAAAACGAGGAGGAAGTGAGAAAGAAGAAGAATATAAAGAGAGAGGGAGGAGTAGATTAGAGGTGAAAATATGCTTAAAAAGGATTAGAAGAACTATCAAAATCGGGGGGGGGATGTTTTAATTGGAA